CGTGATTTCCTGTGAGATGTTTCCGGTCAGTACTTTGGAAACCGGTAATGGGATTTTTTCAACTGTATTCACCAGAGTTATGATCTTACGAGGGTAAACATCTTCCTCACTTATGGTCTTGTTCAGTGGTACTCATATCGTTCACTTATGGTCTTTACGTCTGTTGATTTTTGTTATCATTTTGACGAGTTGGTTCTGATGATGTACAATTTGTAGGATTATCCTGGGAAAATAGACTTCCATCGGAGCCAAATACCATAGCTTGGTCAGGTAGCTGCTGAAAAATTGGGTTATTTGGGCACATTTTGTGAAAGAACCAGCATCACCCCCCAGGTACCCCGATACTACCTGGAAGCCGTAGTTTACACAGTACACCGCACACAGGTGTTCACGTGTCGTACATCTGTGTGTGCTCATATTCTTTCTTGTTTACATAAGTGTTCTGTATATTCAAGCTTTTATATACTTGCAGTTTGGTGTGTCTATGACCAAAGGTTTTCGTGTTTTAAATTTATTCTAGTGTCTACATGTGTATGTGTGTTTGTATAATAATGCCCCTGCCTTTTGGTACTGTTATAGGTGAGTATGTGGAGGAACACCACATGTCAGTCACACACCAGCTGTTGGCATTGACGGGTAACCCGAAAAAGTCACAAGAAAATAAGTCACTATTTTGGCTAGGCTTGGTATGGGTTTTTCCTTTGACTTTTTTTTCCCTAGATTCCGCTGACCAACCTTTTTGAGTGATCAACAAGCATCCCTCCCTCCCTCCGCTGAAGAACGCAACCTTTTTTTATGAATTCTTCTTATTGATGGGAGAGGTGGTAGCACATACTATACTCCACTATTCGTGATCTTCACATTCATACTCTAGTGGTGCGTCTTGACACAACAGTAGACGGTGAAATAACGAAGAATGGAAATCCCCCTTTACGTCGTTGGTGTAGACTGTAGTGAGTCAGCAGTGTATTTACCCCCACCACCCCATCCCTGTTCTACTCCCCTCCCACACTGTGGAAGGGGCCGTAATCCCAGTCCCACGCTCCCTTCCCGTCTCCCGAGGCCTATTACCCTCTGTCGAGTTCCTCTCTTTCAGAAAACGTAATCTTCCCTCACAAGGAAAACGCGCACCACGGGAGTTATTATCCCTGCTCATGGGCCCCGTCGTCATGCTCACTGCGGGGCCCGGCTCATGTGGGACTCAATTTGATCAGGGAGGATTTTGGACGCAAGGGCGAATTTGAATGCCACATGGCAGGTTTCAGAGTCCATTCCAAGGGGATGACACAGTTTTGATGAAATGACGATACTTTGTATACAACGAAATAAGACTTTTTTGTGCATGTAATTAGATATTCTCACCGAATAGTCGCAAGAGTCTCAGGGGTACGTGGATTTTGTTGCTTTAAAAGACCATAGTGTTTTATAGGCATTGTTTATGCTAATGCCCTGGCAGTGCGTGCGTGCGTGTATGAGTGTGGGTGTGTCTTTCTTCAATATATATATATATATATATATATATATATATATATATATATATATATATTATAATAAAGTAGTTGACGTTGGAGATTGTCACAGAAGCATGTTTAGTAAAGAAACTGTGGTGCCTCAGTCAGCGTAACTCAGTGGAAGTGTTAGACGGGTTACTGCAATTCCCAGTGTTTCACATTCAGCAGTTTAACACCACTCGCTGTGTACCTCGCCTAGTATGTTGTCACCCATTTTGTTTCACCTCCTTTAATCTCCACTAGGACCCTGCACTAGACATGACGTTGAATACTGAATAAACAGTCGAGAAATCGGCTAAGATCAGAACGTCTATTCCTGGTAAATGGGGAGGAGGATGTGGGTGGTTAGTGCAGCGGCCAGAAAAATCCTTCATTATTTTTTTTCCCAGCAAGATTTCATTAGTGATCTCCTTGGTGGAGTCGTCAGCTGTTTGGATATTAAGACTGCTTCAAAGCTGCCCCTCGGGTTGCTGAGTTAATGCAATCATCCACCCGGTTAAGGACAAGCCAAAGCATGATGGAACGCCGGAAAAAAGTGTTGACGTATCCCGCAGTTGAGAGTCGACCACAACAGAAAAGTATTATAATTAATCCTTAAAGCCGTAAGCTGGAAACATATTGTTCCAGATACAACTGTTCACTTTCGCATAATTTTGCTACGGAAACTGGAGACTAATGCACCGATAACCTTGACACTATAGTTCTCTATCAGTGAAACTTATTGACATCCATCAGGAAGTTGCTGGTATATTTTATAAATTATGTGGATAATTCACGTTACACTTTCGCGATGGCCAAGAATTGAAAGATTTTGAGCTGGAGCTAGTGTACGTGACGAGCGCAATTTCTCAGTCATGACGAGATTTGTTAGTAGATTGATACACTGGTCAACATAAAAAAAAATTCACATGGTTCTGGATCAAAACAGTCTGATTCTAGTGTAATTGTATGTGCTGAACTCAATTATGACATTCGTATAGCTGTATCAGGCTCAGTTTTCCAGAACCAGCATATCTATGTATTTAGTGTACCATGCTATTCATACAGTAATTTATATGCTCATTGGCTCCACTTATGCAATTATTTTGTCCTGATTTGTGCTTTTTTGTTTGTTTCAGTTTGCTGATTCATGATATTGCATATCTACACCTGCATGATTTGTAATTACTCTGAAATTAACAAAACATGGAACGTCGCAAGTGTGTGAACGGTGCTGACAGTTTTTGCTACATATGTGGTGCCTTCACTCCTGGTAGCCTCAAGAAACCAATCACAAAAGCTGTTCGACTGAACTACAAAAGTTACTTCAAATGTCATTTGGGTGACCAAGACAAGAAATGGGCACCTCATGTAGCCTGTAAGTCTTGTGTTAACCACCTGAGCGAGTGGATGTGTGGTAAACGAAGTTCAGGAATGCCGTTTGCTGTACCAATGATATGGCGTGAACCTAAAGACCACAGTAGTGACTGCTACTTCTGTCTCACAAATATTAAGGGAATAAAAATCAAGACACGAGGCAAGGTACAGTACCCCAATATTGCTTCTGCAATCCGACCAGTACCGCACAGTGCTGAACTTCCAGCCCCAAATCCACCGACTGAACAAGAATTGAGTGATTCCGATTCTACCTCTACCTCAATGGAAAACGACTACCAGGATGACTCTGAAAATACCAGGCCTAAACTATTTACTCAAGAAGCGCTTCATGATCTCATCAGGGACTTAAACTTGTCAAAAGAAAAGGCTGAAGTTTTGGAATCCAGACTAAAGCAGCGTAACCTGCTAGAAGATGGAGTGCATATCACTACAGCGCGTTACCGACATAGACAGCTGTCTGCATTTTTCGAGATGGCAAACAACCTTTGTTATTGCGAGGACGCAGTATCTCTCATGCAACAACTCTGCAAGTCTGAAACATACAAGACAGAGGATTGGAGGCTGTTTATAGACTCAGGAAAAGACTCTCTGAAAGCTGTTCTTTTACACAATGGCAATCGGCTTCCATCTGTCCCAATAGCACACGCAACAAAAATGACTGAGAGCTATGAAACAATGAAAATTCTGTTGGCCGCTATAGAATATGAGAAACACCAGTGGAAGATATGTGGCGATCTCAAAGTCATCAGTTTACTACTGGGCCTTCAGAGTGGCTACACAAAGCACATGTGCTTTTTGTGCTTGTGGAACAGCAGAGCTGATGCAGAGCACTATGTGAGAAAGGATTGGCCGACAAGACCAAGAGATGCGCCTGGAAGGTTTAACTGTGCTCACAATCCGCTTGTAGATCCAGAAAAGATAATTTTACCTCCACTGCATCTAAAGCTCGGTTTGGCTAAAAATTTCATCAAACCTATGGATCAATTCGGTGTTGGGACTCTATACTTATCTCAGAAACTAGGTGGTGTGGTTTCCGAAGCCAAGCTGAAAGCAGGTGTCTTGAATGGACCATAAATTCGTATACTAGTTAATGATAGCGAATTCACCAAAACATTGAACCCACTGGAGAAAAAAGCATGGGAATCATTTGTCAATGTGTCAAAGAATTTTCTTGGAAACTATCGTGCTGACAACTACAAAGAAATCGTAACAACCATGCTTCAGAATTATCATGCATTGGGAGCAAGGATGTCCTTGAAATTGCATTTTTTCCACTCTCATATTGAATTTTTCCCAGGTAACCTTGGAGACGTTAGTGATGAACACGGCGAAAGATTTCATCAAGATATCACCATAATGGAGAGCAGATATCAGGGACAATTCAGTCCTAACATGATGGGCGACTATTGCTGGACACTGCAACGAGAAGAGAGCAAGCTGTACAAGAGAAAGAGTAAAGTTCAGAAGCACTTTTAGAACTTCATATTTTGTCATTATAAAGGATTTGAACTTATGTTTTTTGGTACAATTTTTTATGAGCTTATCTGTGATAGGTTTAAAATTGTATCTTGCATGACGCGATAATGTTACTATATTTACTATTTTTTTTATTCTTTAAGAAAGTAGGTCTGATGGTAGAATGAAACATCCAATTAATATGAAATTAGTCATGAAAGCACAGTCACATGAGATAATCTCATCTTTTGCACAACACGTGATGGAATATTAAATATTTGTATCTATTGATTTTTTATAAAACCTGGTCTGATAGAACAAAACAAATATCAGATTCGAATTCAGCAATATGAAATTAGTTGTGTGAACATGATCTCATATGTGAACCATTTTGGCTGTTGACCATAATTAATTAGTCACGGTGCTTTTTGACGATTTCGTTCAGAAATTTTGAACAAATTTACCAGAAGACTATGAAATGTAATGATGAAACAATGTTGCTGAAAAATCGCGACATAATAACTAATGAAGTATTAACACTGCTTATGCTGTAGTATATCTTAATTAAACAATTTTTTTTTTTTTTTTTGGGGGGGGGGTAAAAAGTTATTTATAGTTTATGTAACATAAGTATATAATGTATCTTCTCTTCAACAGGAGCCCCAGATCCTACTGCAGGAGGTAGTGCTGAAGAAGAGCACTGTTGGCACTTAGATGCTGAGCAGGTTAAGGAGCAGGTTGGGCAGTACCTCACCCAGGGGGGTTATTACAATGCCAACAAGCAGCTATACTTTATGTTCACTAAGGTAAATTTAAACGAGGATAAATCATTATATCTTTTTTCACTTTTGGTATGTAGAGATTTTTTGACTTGTGTGTAATGTTGTTGGTGAAAAGGGAAAGTTATAGAACTGTCTCAGGATTATTCTGATTAAACCGTACTGTATTATGTAGCGTACTGTAAGAATACTTCACTTACATGTGTTCTTAACAGGTGCGGGAGATGGTTCGTGCTAGAGACAGTAATGGTGCTAAAATGCTCACAATGATCACTGAGCAATTCCTTAATGACCCCAGACTCTTACTCTGGAAGTCCCAGGGTACACCCATGACAGACAAATGCCGGCAACATTGGGACCATATAGGTGAGCAATTTTTAAAACTTTACTTTAGTTTTATTTGATACCTCCTTGCCCCTGAGATTCGACTTGCTGATTAAGGACAAGTTTAATGGAAATTTATTAACTTTGGGAAAAGTATAGAAATTCTCTCCCCTGTATAAGATCTAGGGTCAGATGAGGACCTACTGCATTGAATATTCTTTGTCTAAATACTGTAGCTGGTTAAGTTTCATGCATACTGTATATGGATATGATCATGATCATGATCAAATATAAAAGCTTATATTAATAAATATTGTTAAGATTGATTATTATTAAACTAAGCTACATTATTATAAGTGTAGGTAATATTCTTGTTGTTATAGGCATAAGCAGTAATTCATCTAATAATTCCCAGCTCTTATTACTGTTATTATAAATGTGTAAAGATTGATTTTGATTGTCAGCAGCAGATGTTATGGTGCTACATGCCAGCTGCTAACTAGAACATGATTGATTGTTAAATGTGACGGTTTATGTAAAAGTCAATTGTGGATGAATTCACATAAGTATGTCATCAGGAATATGCTGGTTTTGTTTCTTCATTGTTATGGTTTGACACTAGCTCGTGACTCTTACTTTGTCATTAAATTTTTGTGCTTACGGTACCTATGCAATCTTGCAAGATATGTTTGTAGGTAACACAACATACTGTATATTCAGTACATGTTTGTTTGTTTTTTACTTTACATTAAAAACGTATATTAACTTAATTCTATTTTCTTATCAGCTGCTTTGTGGGTGTGTGTGGTACTTGCCCCACACAGTGGAACATCAGAAAAACAACAGTGGCAAAGAACCCTGGAGCAGTGGGCTCATACAGATGTTTGTCCTCTTGAGGATCCAGATCACAGACATCAAGACAACAATGACAGAGTTAGTATGATATAATATAATGTTGAAAATGTGTTTAAGGTCATTTATGCCACATAATAACATGTGTATGTTTGTTTATTTCCAGTCATACCTTATTTCATGGAATGTTGCCTGTGTAGAAAATCTAGTTAACCTCCTTCATTTTAGAGACCTGTCTGCATCTCTTAAAATATATGTTTTTGGAATTTAATGTTCAACTGAACTGTAATGCTCCTGAATCACATAGTTTCTCCTTACATTCCAAGACATTAGATTTATACAATGGGAGAAGAAATTAGATGAATTGTACTGGTGAAGTTATCTCGATCATAAGGGAATTGTGAGTTGGAGGAGCTGGGGAGTAAGATAACACTACCGCTTGTAATAAAAGACACAAGGACAAAATTCATTGCCTGTCTAGTGTCTACATTTGGTATTCTTGGACATAGTGTCTTCATATCCTTGTCATATATCAGTATCAGCCTTTACAATAATTAGGACTTGCTCATCATTAGACAGTATTCAGAATTTTTTCTCCATCATTTGAATTAAATGGATCATATAGATTTATTCTCTTATTGTATTCCTGTAAACAATAAGTTCATTCATATTCTCATAATGAAATGTCATGGTCCTAATTGCATTGTTTAGTACATATGAGAAGAATTTCCTTGGTCAATGCACTTATGTAAGGAAGCCTTCAGAATGTCAAGGTTAATTGGTCATGGTTATTCTAGTCTTCAAATTAATGAAAAGAGTTTTTCTTTCAGAATCATTCAGCAGCTTACTACCTGAGCTCTGATGAAGAATCAAGTGATGATGATAATGAACTAAGGCGAAGAGAACCAAATAGGGATGGTAATAATCGTGACCACTACCATCGTCATCATCACAACCATCTACATCATCACAACCAAAGAGAAATCCGAGATAGAGATAGAAGATCTTCACACAGGTACGGACAACTTGTTTTGTATAAAATTTTCATTTGGCATGTAAGAATCTGATGTACAGTTTAACAAACATGTCAAATTGAAATGTCAATGATTCATAAGATTTTATTAACCTGAGTACAGTACAGGGACAGAACATTTTATTTACTATATACATTATGTTTAGAAATTGGTAATACAGGTACAGTATTACAAAATTCATCTTACTGTTTACATTTGCTGTATGCTGTCTGTATAAAGTGAGTGCTTACTCTTGAGTCCAGCCACCCTGCAGCATTGTATATAGAGACTTCAAGACTTAAAAATGAGTACCACCTGCATTTGTTTCCCATAATATGAATATAATGTATGCATATACTGTATTGCATGTGTTTTATCAATTACAAATTATGATTGTGGTACAGTATACTGTAAATTTTTCATACTTGTATTTTATAATAGAAAAGAGCTTAGTGATGTTAAAGAATACATGTACTGTATTGTACTGTACTTATGATTTTTATAAACATCAATTAGAATTCAAGAAAAAATAAAATTTTCTTATGGTTAATTTTTCTCCTCTAGACGACACAAGCGACGGAGGATCTCTGCCCCTCCCCGGACAATATTCCATCGGGCCATAGATGCTTGTAATATGTCCTGGGACGACCAACACTTACAAATAATCCTTGCTGGTGAAACTCCGGTGCTAAGGACTTCACAACATTCCTCTTCTTATTATAATGAACAAGGGCAGCCACTTTGGCATGGTAATATCATTATCTTATTTTATTTGTATGCTGGACTGTATATACGGCACTGTATGTGTTGTGTATGTGTTTTTCAAACAATTTATGAATGCTTACCTTTTTTATGTTTTGGTCCTTAGTAACTGCAGGTATACTGCACTATACATGTACTGCATTTAGTGATATACCTTTACCCATTTTCAGTGCTATGCAGTACAGTACAATGAAAACCTGGAATCAGTACACTTTAAAAGAGCATCTGTGCCCTGATAGTATTATTACTAATGATATGCTGCTTATAATAATTTTTAATACTTAATTATGGTAACTAATTGTTTCTGAAGATACAGTGTATTATGAGTGAAGTCTGTGCTGAAATATGAGCTATATGTACTTATGCTATCATGTGTTTTGCTAATAATTCAGGAAGATGGCTGGTGTAGTTCTGTTTTGTAGCTAAATGTACAGTATTATATTATACTCGAATGAATTATCACTGAAGAGGAAATGCAGTAGATTAAATTAATACAAACCACAACATATTTATTATACTAGATGATACATTTTCTGAAGAATTACTTGTTATAACACTTTCCCTAATGTGCTTGATATTGCATTCATTGTCAATCCTAGCTGAAAGGGCTCTTAATATTCAAGTGTTTCTTTCAATCAGATGTGTTGGTGTTTATGAAGTTAAAATAGTGCTGGAGAGTTTTTAAATAAAAGAAAATTTCCCTAAAAGCAGGGTGTTCTCTGATATTACAAATTGAATTACTCATTAATCTAAGTTTAAATTATATAATACAGTATACCACATTAAGATCAATTGTTCTTTATTACAGAACCTGTACCAATAGCTTGTTCTCGTGTGGATGCTCTGAGATCTCATGGCTATACCTCTGAAGCATTAAGACTTGCAGTAGCTGTAGTACGAACACTAAAGCAGGCGCAGAGAGAAGCATACCTTTGGTGGGGAAGCAAAAGGGATGAAATGCTTCCTAGGTGCTCTGCCTCAAGAGCTTGTAGATCTCTTGGTCCAGGAGCATTAGAAAGTTGGGTGGGACATCCTTTAGACCCTATAACCTGTCTCTTCGATACATTAGCTGAAGCATCCCTCCTACCTGAAGATTTACCAAGATTCCAATATCATAGTGGTAAGTTTTATTTTCTGGATACAGACAGAGTTTGCCAGTCACAAAATAATTTTTGTTTTTGTATAGTATTTATATATCAGCCTACATCTACACAAAATCTCACTTATACTATTAATACCCATCCACCTTCTTAGCTCTAAACTTGGTTACCCATTTTTCAATGTCCCATTATGCATCTACGTCTCCATTCTTATTTCAGCTTGCTCAAGCTTACTTATCATCCTCTTTAATTGCCCATGTTTCAGTGCCATACAACATCACACTTCTTAAAATGCATACATCTTTCCTTTCGCATGCAGAGAAGGTACTCTCACCGTCAATAAAGGCAACAGATCCCAAAACTTCCTCCAGCTACTTTTAAGTCTTTCAACTGAGCAAGCTTCAGTACTACCCCCAACAGTGAACATGTCATCCAGATAGCAGAACTCATTGACACAGTCCAAAGATATATCAAAAGCAGTCCCCTGGATGAACATATGGACCTGCTTTAGGGAGACACAAGTTTACATTGACAGCTATAGGGAAAATTCTTTAAAAAATGGAATTATAAATTACTGAGTCAAGTATTGTAATATTTCGTATTTAACATTCTTTGGACATGAAGATTTCAATTAATACAAAGAAACCTTATGGTCACATATGGCCTTGGCCAAGGGACACAGATATTTACAATGGCATATATATATATATATATATATATATATATATATATATATATATATATATATATATATATATATATATATATATATATATATATATATATATATATATATATATATATATATATATATATATATATATATATATATTTTACCTATAGTTTTGGAGATATTTTTCAAATAATTTATATAAAATGATTGTATCCGATGCATTGGTTTTTATAAAATTGATATATAAATAACTTTTTTAAGTACTACATGTGAAGCAACTTTGTGTGAATTGGCACATACTGTAGACTGTTTAAAAGAGAATATGCAGCAGGATTGTTTTATGTGAATACTGTTGGATGCTTATATGAGCAATAGGGGTTGGGTATAAACGGGACTGCCCAGTATGGGCCAATAGGCCCGCTGCAGTTTCCTCCATTCTTATGTTCTTATGTGTGTGTATTGGTGATATATATTAAGTGCATCATCACTGTAAAGTGGTCATTTCCCATAAATGTGTTCAGTACTCGATTGTTATCATTATATTTTCTCCACAGATTGGTTAGGTGTAGCTAACGAAGATGCAACAAATCTGGCGCCACTGAGGTATCGACACGTTCCCATCCCAGGCTCCAGTGATCCCTGGGAATCCTACCTTACCTTAGCCCTAGAAGCTGCACTTATTGGTCTTGGCCAGCAACGTGCTATGCCACCTGGGCTGTACGCACAGGAAAAGGCCTGTAAGCAAGAAGAGAAAATGATACTAAAACTTCAAGAACTTAATCTTGACTCACCTCTCCTAGCAGTATTACGTCGTCAAGCCAGACTACTTTTGGAGGGCGGACCATTTTCCGGGCTTGGTGAAGGCATCCACCCTGAAAGTGTACCAATGCATACTTTCACAAAGTTCCTATTCACTGCTCTTTTGCCACATGATTCTGATTTGGCATATCAGTTGGCTTTAAGAGCGATAAGGTATGTAGTATTGCATATGTTTTTATCATTAGATTACATCATTCCCTCATAATTATAAATGCCTGTACTGTACTTTCAAGCTAATGTGATACAGATATAAGACTTGATGTGATGAGTAAACATTTATGTTATGTAAAAATTTGGGGGGGGGGGATTTTGGAGGGGGGCCAAAACTTCATTTCATTGTCATTTATTGCAAAATCCAGTTGAGAGACATGGTCAGCAGACACTTACAGAGATACTTTTCAAACATTGCTGACAGAGATCTATCTTAGGGAATCAATTTGGCAATTGTAAATGCATGACATTTTTTCATACACAATAAATATATTTCTTTCATGTTTTCACAGCAGATAAATAATATGCAGAACTAACTTGCATGCCATTTTCGTGACAGTCAAACAACTCATTGGAATATCATTCATATGTTAGACCACCCGTACCATTTCATATGAATTTATTATTGTCTGTAGTAAAATAAGTTGTAACATGTAAGAGTAACTTTAGTTCTCATAAATGCATTTGTTTGTAACTAGTAATACTAGTGGTCTTTCTGCCTTTTTTTTTAATATTAATCATATCTTTGTGTTTCAGATTACCCATCCTGGAAGATCACGATGATGTTGATGACCCAGTTAACGGTAATGTGTCTTCATTGGTGCTGTCCCGATATCCCCGCTGGTTCACGTTGGGCCACATTGAAACTCAGCAGTGTACCCTTGCCTGTACCATGATAAATGCAGCAAAGAGTAAGTTCCAATTCCATTCTGTTGAATTATGCATAGATTGCATTACTTATCTTCAGTAAAGTCGGTAAAGCTTTTTGAAATACTGTACAGTATATACAGTATTTCAGGAACTCTCAGTCTGTCAGCTGTATTCCATCTCTGTATACATGTCGTTGATACCATGATATTATTTTTAGACAAAAAATTATATACTTTAAAGCCATTTATCGTCAGCCCCATTGTTGAATTTTACAGAGTGAATTTTGTTTTATGCGGTAGTAATTAAATCAGTCGGGTTCCTTGAAGATAATTATTTATTCCTCTCGTTTCAGATGATGTTATGCGGCTACGGTCTGTTCTGGATGCTGCTCTGAGGAATATTCATAGTTCCTCGCATCTCTTTAAACTTGCTCAGGATGCCTTTAGACTTGGGCTACCGGGGGAAGGCCAGAGAAATTCATTGCTTCTCAATGCTGCGCTGGAACTAGGACTTCAGGTAAGTCTTCAAATTTTAGTCAGATTTTTAACAGCTCTTACTTACAGTATGATCATAATAACCGAGGATATTAAATATCCTGCACGTAAGCATATTTTCATCAGAATCATTTATTATTTTACCACATGTACAATACATACCGGTATATCATTATCTTTGACTCGATAACTTCCTCTTAAAACAAAGGGATTCCTTTGCAGTAGCATTGCTCCCCTACCTATCCTAACTGGGGTCACATTAGCCAATTTATATTTTCACTAACTACAGTACTACTTATAGCACAGTAGCAAGTCAAAACATGGAGGTTAGAATTAAAAGTTTCACTCAAGTGATACATTTGATAAATATTTCAAGCAACTGGTGGATCTCCAGTATTGAGAGTAAGTTAATCAACTACATTACAAAGAATACAAGAAGTAGATTATTAAAATACCATACATGGAGAGAACAAGTTGTCAGTGTTTTAAGTTTTGCATTGTTTGCTGTACAGGTAATGCGGATGACCCTTACTTCACTCAATTGGAGACGTCGAGAAATGGTTCGTTGGTTGGTTACCTGTGCAACTGAAGTAGGGGTATCGGCTTTAATTTCCATCATGCAAAATTGGTTCACACTCTTCACTCCAACTGAAGCAACTGGAGCTGTAGCCTCAACTATCATGAGCCACACAACAGTCATGCGGTTACAGCTAGACCGTTCTAAACCAGATGAGCTTCCTGCCTGTGCTAGATCCCTAGCTTTGCAGTGTGCCACTAAAGTATGTATTTTCATGTAATCTTGGTATTTTGTGCCACTTTTATTTAATAGTTTAGAAACGAGAATGTGTTTGAAAGATTTAAAAAAATTATTAAATGAAGGATACATGTACAGTATGTGAAGGGGGAGGGGTTGAATCAGATAATGAACAATTCAAGAATAAATTCTTAAGAAAGTGTAGCAGAGGTGTACTAGTGTACTGTATATGAGTACAGGAAAAATGGATGTTGGCAATACTTATTAAGAAGAATTCTATGAACATCAGTTACAAGTGAAGCATGATGAAAGAAGAGAGTACAGTAAGAGGAGATTAGAGAGGAAAACAAAGAGAATTGTGAAAAATTTAAAAGAAAGGTAGATGAAATGCAAGGTTTTAAATACAGTAAAACAATTAGTCATCTGGAGGGAACTAATTAGGGTGAAAACTAAGAGAACAAATGGAAATGACGAGTGCATAGGATATTTTATATCTTAGATGTTATGCCTCACTCCTTCAGGGAATTGCTCTTTGGAGGGGTGGCCATCATAAGAGCCTCCAGGATACCCTTTTCCTACTTATCTCCTTTGTCATTTGCTTCCCTTATCCACTCCTCTGTTCTGTCTTTAATACTACAAAATTCAGCCTGGTTTGTATCATGGAAAGTACATTTATTTTTCAAGTGTCACTTATTAATTATATGTGGCTACATTTTTCAGCCTACTGTATTTCTATTATTTTTTTTCTGTTGGACTTGTTTTGCCATTGAACTTCATGAAGCAGACTAGCCTTATAACTGACTGGTTAGCTGTTACAATATTATTTCACCTATTTACCAGTATTGTTGTCATTAGTTGTTCCTTTATTTCTTTCTCATTTCTGTGAATTTGCTGAGTAACCCTTTGTTTTTTTTTTCATAATGCAAATGACACTCACTCAATTTATATGAAACCAACCAACAGGTAGAATTGATTGATATTTTCCATTTATTTTTTTGGTTTCTATTTTTGAGGGTTATAATATTATCAGCAAGCAGATTATTTGGGTAACATTCTTCATATACAGGTGCTCCTCTACTTAAGAATGTTCAACTTACAAACTTTCAGCGATGCAAACATCATCACTGAGGGGGGGTTACCTGCCAGAACAGGTGTTTAATGTGGATGGGACTGGATTATTTTGAAGAAAATTCCAGATAGAACAAACATTACCTATGAGGAGAAGTTTTTTTTAGGAGAAGAGTGAACCAGGTTTTAAAACTATATTAAAGGGTATAGCTATACTAAATATCCATAATCTTTTCATTTTTTACTATATGTTTGGTATCTACAAGAGTAAAGTTGGACTTACAAACAAGCCTCAGGAACATAACTCGTTTGTAAGTAGAGGAGCACCTGTACAACCCAGCTAAAAAAAAAAAGGAAAAATTACATGAGATTTATAATATAAAGCATCATTTTAATTTTTTTATGAATATTGCATTTATAGGGTTTTTTATTATTAGATAAATGTTTTCACCTTTTGTAATTTCTTGTTTATCTTAAATTTACAGGACCCACCTAATTGTGCTCTGAATGCCTTGACCTTATGTGAAAGTGATCCAGTATCATTTGAGACAGCTTACCAAGTTGTTGTAGATGCTGCTGCCCACACCATGTCATCCTCCCAACTCTTTACCATTGCACGGTACATGGAACATCGTGGATATCCACACCGTGCTTATACTCTAGCCATGTTGGCTATGCGGAGTGTACATTTGGCATATAATCAGGATCCTCACCCAGCAATTAATGATATCCACTGGGCTGTGGCATTAGCGCATTCACTTGGTCGTGCTGAACTATCCCAGCTTCTTCCAGTGCTCATCAAGAATGTCCAGTGTGCCACTGTGTTATCTGATGTCTTGCGACGTTGCTCCCTATCAGCACCAGGCATGGCATGTCCAGACTCCAAACGTCGGCCAATAAAGCCTCTAGCCTTTGATAAAGCACCTTTACGAGGCCTCCTTGAAGCTACAATTCTGGCCTACATAAACACAACAAATTCTCGCCTGACTCATATCTCGCCTAGACATTATCAAGACTTTATTGACTTCTTAACTAAAGCTCATGAAACATTCATGCTTGCCCATGATGGACACATTCAATTTGCACAACTAATTGAAAATATGAAAGTGGCATACAAGGGTAAGAAAAAGCTTATGTGCTTAGTGAGGGAACGATTTGGCTGATGTCTGGTGAATCAATATCAACGACATTGCAGAAAGTGTTTTAGTAAAATATTAAGTTCTTCCCACTAAACAGAAAGCTCAAAAAATGTCATTATTATTAGTTTTGCATTTTTTAAGGCCAGAAGTTTAACTGTGAATAAACACTGAATACGGTGCTGCAATGATCATGATCTGCTTCTGGGATCAAATGTCAATCAGCAGTGATGTTATATAAAACATACGGACTCTTAGAGATGCTTGACCTCAAAAGGAAGTTTAATTTTAAGTTTATTTAAATCAGGCATAGTGATGTAGCACTTTAAGTTCATATTTCCTCATTGTTAATCCTCATGGCATGGTGCAGATTTTTTAATTTTTTTATATCATTGAAAGAACCTTTGCATATTTCTCCCTTTTAATATGTAATGACTGATAATGTCATGTGTACAAGCTCATAAATTGTTGATAAGTCACTAATGTTGATTTCAAGGTATGTGCAACTTGAATTACGTGTGTTAAGAACGTAATGATATCCTCATTTTATTTTTAATACTATGTACGTATATTATTTATTCAATTGCTTTTGCAAGTACTGTGTATTTATACCAAAGATTAGTGAGAAACAAATGGGTTAGCACTTTGCATCTAATCCAAAGCTGCAAGCAAGCCCAGTAGACAGTGTGATACTATGCTAAGTGGAATCCCACCTCTTATGCCCATATCACGCGGAGTTGGCGCCGTCAGGGACTCCAGTACAAACTACGGCAAAGTTCACAAGCTATAGAATGTTGAGGCTCAGTAGATACTCTTATCCTGAACAGCCAGTGATATGTCTCAAAACTCCAGAGCAGTCAATCATAACTGGTAAGAAATTACTAGAGCCTAAGCATTCAGCTGTCGTGGATGCAGCCTATATCGTCAGGCCTCTCTCTCAGTCTCTACCCTACAACAGAATGTGGGTTGAGGATGCAGATACTGATGTAGATATCTCTGGATTAGGGGTATCTGATCAAAAGATTTGAAACTCAATGCAATATATCAAAAGAACTTGATAATTAAATAAGCATTGGTACCCTTGATTTGGATATCATATGATTTTTATTTATTTATTTTTTTGTTAAGTATAAAGCCAAGAGCACTGAAAAGCTTACTAAACAGTGGACAGTGAACAAGATGAAAATAAGAAAAAAGTTTTAAAAAATTGTAAAAAATAAACTCCGCATGATAATACAGTACAGTATTTAAAATTGTGATGTGACTGAAACCTGTGGTCCTTAGGTATGCTGTCAATTAAGCTCAAAATCCTGTGTAATATGAGCGATGGATTACCCATTCCTAAGGATCACATTGCCTGACCTATACACAAAATGTTAACGTCAATGTACTGCAGGAGTGACAACCAATGGAAACATGTAGTCGGAAATACTGTGTGCTACTGTAGTGCTGCCTCTCTCAACAAAGTTAATTTCCGACGATAATGCACTTTAGTGATCTACCTCCGTATTCTTATGTAGCAAACACAGCCGTGGCCTATGTAGATGGTTGTTTTTGTTTGCTGTCTTGCCATATCTTCAAAAGGTCCAGTGTGTTATGTATATGATCTCATGTCTAAGGACAAAAAAAGTCTCTTTCTAGGCTGTAGATTTCCAACTGTATATAAATATGTGTGTAGTGTATAAGGTGCCACAGTGCCCTATGGCATGGTTGTTTTAGGTCTCAGTTAGCATCTTTAACTTCAGGTGATTCCACCTCCATTTCTACTTCCTTGAGTGCTTCAATTACTCCTTATTTATGTGCTGTCAGAATGTCAGGAGTATTATTGGAACTCTATGGTGATGTGGAACAGGTTGAAGGTTTCACTTTCCTAGGCCATGTTGATTTGTTTAGTCATATGAATTTAAACTGTTTTGACACATTGGCAAGCTAATAGTTTAATTAGTGTTATATTTAATAAAACTAGTGTTCATGCTTGTTTTTTCCTTTTTTTATTTCAAAGGAATTTCTTTTGTTGCTTAGTGTTACTACTGGTATTAAGTTATTTATGTACAAACTACATTGTGCTGGTCGATACCAATGCCTCCCCAAAACTTCCAGAACGGCTACGTATTGCACATGTACACCGCTAGACTGTAAGTCCTATGTGTGATCTAACAGTGTCCCTGTATATATTAATAATGTTAATAATTTAATGCCCAACTCTGCAAAAGCTTCATGAGCCCAAACTTGATGTGTATTGTCTGTGTATAGGTCTATGTGTACTTCCAACTAGCATACGAAAGCCATGGATATTTTTCCAGTGGTATAAATGGGTACTTTTTGTTGAAGAGTGCAAGTTTTTACCTCTTTCTGAGTTATATGTTTCCTGTATGGGCAAACTATATATGAAGCAAATGAGATGAGGAGAAATACTATGAAGGAGTTGTATCTGTAGGGATAATAATTATCAAGGCAAAGATTCAAGTTTGCTTATCTCAGTGCAGTTGTACATTTGGATGCTAATTGCATCTACATTTGGGAGTACTGTATTTCACTATTTCAAGACAGATTGAAGGGTATACACCACTCAGTATTTTAGATAGGTTCAACCTCTAGTATGATTGCATCCTATTTATTTCATCATGCCAAATTTGCCTACAGCCTTAAGTTATAACAGATCATATTTAAGCCATAAATCCATAAAGTATATAACCTCATAATAGCACAAGGATTAGGATATGGTACATACCTGAGTGATCATTTTGTGTGTGTATATATAATATATATATATTTATATATATATACACAGTACAGATATATAAAGGTGATCAATATGTAGGAGTGATCAGTAATTGCATGATCACTATCTGATTCATGACAATCTTAGCTAGAGGCATATCACTCAAGGTCCTTGTGTCCAAAGCACTGAATTGTCCCAATGTTTCAATCATTTGCTTAAAATGAAAATGTAAGATAAAGTGAAACGCATGTGAATACTGTAAAATGCATGTCAATGCTTGAGAATTGTATAATATATGTAGGAACTTGTACATAGTAGAGTGACATGTTAGGGTCGCTTAGTACTAGGTAGGTTATTCTCTCTTTATATCTCTCTTCATCTCAATCTCTCTTTCTGGGCATACATATTAATCCTCACACATTTAGAATCCCAGTGGATGCGTTATGTTATGATACGGTACATCAAACTTGAAAAGTTCATATCCGTTCGGTGATTACTACAGAATATTTATAAAATTTTAAAGGAAATAAACTAGATTTCTTCTTTTACTGTCTCATGTTTTAGAATTAATTATGTATTTTCAAGGCAGTGGTCAAGAAAATTGTTGTTATCCTCATTTAGTTCAGTTGTTGTTATTTATATTCGTTCAGAATTATTATGCTTTATTATTTCTTTGAAGAAATATGGTGTGAAGAGTACTGTCTGATTATTCAAACTTGGTAACCTCTATGAGTGGTTGAAAGTGTGTGTAACTGAATGAAGGACACTTATGATGTGAAAGTTTGTTTACATATTTTTGTTACGTAAATAAGGATGTATGCTAAGTGTCCATTGCTAAACTGTTCCATTAACATTATCTGTTTAGAATTATTTATCGTGTGATTCACAAATTTTTAATTCAAGCATACAGGATCTTTGCAAAGCCATATGCAAGTGTGTACAGTACAAGTGGATGACATAAAGAAGAGTTTTGTTCTTGTTTTTATTTAAGTTATGCAGATATCCCCACCCCCACCATTTTAACCCACCCATCCTTTACCCATTTCCACTTTCAAAACTCCCAACCCATTTTTGTCCTGTCATGATTATTGTTTCTGCCATTTTTTACATTTGTATTAAAGACTTTACAAGGAGAAATTATTTTATTTTCCTGGTATTAATTCTACTGTAGTTCATAAGAATAAAATCTTTCAGAAATAGAGATGAGTAACATATCTCACTTACTGCAACTAAAGTGACCTCTTGATTATATTTTACTGTAAAAAATCATTGGATATTTCTGAATGCATAAGCAAAAGATAAATAAATATGCAAGAACCAAGCCACTGTAGTGTGCATAATTCCAAACCTCAAATAAGTAAAGTACAGAAAACTATGCTTGGGTGCATATAAAGTACTGTACTGTACTGTATAGTAGTGGCTGCTTCACCCAAATACTGTACCAAGAATGTAGCTGAAGGCTTCAATTATTACCTATGAACATAATCGTTTTAACTTATTAATTTTTCTAGTTTGCTAGTTTCTTTGTTGGCAACTGTAAGTCAAAAGACTTTCACAGACAACTTATATTGTAATGATATATTACAACCTGAAGGGACCAGCCTTAATATAGTAGTTTGGATTTGTACGATTAATTGTCATAAATTTCCAATGAGCTAGTTATTTACAATAGGCATAAATACAAGTACAGTCCTGTATGCAAAGAAAGAACATGTCACATTATATAAAAAGGAAAACGGCAGCCTTATGATATTTAGCATGGAGTGGTTAATAATAAGCACATTTATATGAAAGGAATATCCTGAAATTTAAATACTGTAAATATGAAGGGATCAGATCAATTAATCTCTCCATCTAAACACCAAAATATGAAACTATAAATGTTTGGGACACCAAGAAAAAAACGTTTACATATGTGCATTTGCGAAAAACGAGGCTGCCATGATGGAGGAACGATTAACATGATTTATTGGCAGGTAAAATGTCTTCTTCTTTTTTTTCCTACCACGACCCTTAAAAACTACTACTTAACACATACACTTATAAAGAAACGTTTCATCAAATTATATTAAAGTATTGATAGTTTGTTTGAAATTATTTTATCTACTTTTTTTTAGATTTCATTAAGAAATGCAATCATAGAGAAGATGTAAATGGCGTTGGATGAGCGAAAGTTTCTTACCCGATTTGTTATGTATTTATCATTCTTTAGTTATTCAACAATGTTATATCCGCCACTAAAGGGTATCACAACATGGTAAGTCTTATTTAGTAATTTATTTAGCATTAACATTTGGTAATTACTAAGTTTATCGACGTTGATATGTTATCAAAGTTTATCTAAGTTTTTTCTTTCCCGACTTTTATGCATGAACCTCGATGAGTGCAACAACGTTTCTCAAGAAGTTTGTTGCAGTTTAGATAGATAAAGTGTTGCCGATAAGCTTGATAATTACTGCAGAAGTTGGTGGTTCATATTTTAGCAATTAAATTTTATACTTGTTCCGTGGGATTCAATGGCGTTTTCATCATGAGCGGGAGGAGGGGGGGGGATTGCAGCCACACAATAATCTATTAATTGTCAGTCTCATGGCATGATCTCTGCTTACAGTGGCGGCTCGTGAAAAATAAAATGGAGGGACTGCAAGCCTCTCACAACAGTAGGATACACAAATTTGACCTACCTCAGGTATGAGTTGTAGTTGATGTCCACGAATTCCCAGGGCATGGTAGTAGTGTTGGTGGTAGAAGGTGGTGATGGACCAGTATTAATTGAAAATAAAGTCGGCGTGTCTGCTCTTCGATGTAGCAAAATTGTTTATTGCTATTTCATTAAAATGGAAAGCAGAATAAAGTATTTGCCTCGTCACAACCACAGAGCCATTCACATTTCTGATAAACACTGATGTTAAACTGGCGTGTACATTCTTTGTTCCTGCTTGTACTGTTCTGTTGAATGGATAAAACTGGTGTAGGTCTTCCTCTTGCTTTGATTTCAGTCTTTTCATTTAATGTCAGCTGGGAAAAGTTGATGTTTTGCAAATACTTCACTCGATTTTCCATCGTCAAAGGGTAATTAAAGAAAGCACGATTTAACCACACCGTCCACACGTTGTACGAGACTGAGCTGCTTCACTGTGTCCCCAAGAATTATTTTAACAGAGTAGAAACGAACAGGAGGTCGAAGAATTCTCACTTGTTTCATTGGCTCCACACTACTTACCCAGATAGGAAGGAGAGGGATGAGTTATAAAAGAAAGTAATAAGGCGGAGATATATTAGCGAGGAAAATCTTACAGCCAAGAGGGGCGATATTAATTTAAAGACCGCACCCACTCCTCCCCGAAGCATTTTTAACACTACAGTACGCTTTGGTCCAACAAGTACGTACAGTAACTAGAATATGAAAATTGAACCAACTCGAAAATTGAATTATACATGAGATTCATACCTGACTCCTGTTGTAAAGACGACACTGGGTTGTTTATGATATATTTTTGGGGGTTATTGTTATTTTCATTATTATTATTATTATTATTATTATTATTATTATTATTATTATTTTCAGTAGTAGTTATAATGAGTTATAGTAGCAATGATTAAACTGGTAGATTTCGTAGTAGTAGTACACTGTGGTAGCAGCTATAGCAGCCCAAATAAAACCTACTGAATTGGTTGCAATAAAATAATAGTAACGGTACTACTATTCATTGTGAAATTACGGTACTAAAGTACAGTAATAGGATACACCATATAGTAATACCTGTACTGTAGTTGTATTGTCAATAATTGTAATCGCAGTAGTAATATAATTAACTAGCCTTGTTATTAGTATTAAGTTATACGGTAGTAATATTGTTGGAAAATTTTTAACTAGATCTTATCTTAATTTTAAGGCCCTTTTCCTGATTAAGATTTTGTCCTTGGTTAACTTCTGTACTGGGCTCATAGCAACAGTCCTTCCTGACAGCTACGTCCCCAAGCTCAGCTACTTTATATATATACTGTATATATATATATATATACAAGTAAAAATTAGAATGTCAGACTTCACTCGGCATGTTAAATACTGTAGTGTCCGCGCCAAAACAACAAAATCTGGCCACCATCGCCAGTGCTCGCGCCAAGCCTGAGTTTCCTCATGTGTTTCACCTTTGAAGAAGCCGTGGATGGATAATAAGAATAAATTGTGCTTCAAAGTCTTCATTTTACAACATTACACTGTGCCAACCTTTGTATTTGTTTAAATAAAATCAATATTGACAATAAGAAGTGACATTAATGCATAATAATAATAATAATAATAATAATAATAATAATAATAATAATAATAATTATAAAAATAACTATACGGCTAATAAAACACCAATTAATCAAACAAACTGAACTTGTGGAGATTCGTATTTGATAAGTTAGGTAAGTACTTTTAAAAACTTTATATGTCACTGCTCTATAAAGGTTTGCAGATACCACCTTCACTTTGGGGTAATCTACAGTCCCCTATTTTGGGTACACAAGTGAGGCGATACGACACTTCTTCCGGTACTCTGATTACGGGTTGTAAATAGCTAATGAATTTTAGGTCTTAGAATTCATGAATATTGCGAGTGTTTGATAGATCTCACTCTGGTCTGTATATTGCAGTCCCGTTACGTTTGTGAAATTGACCAGTTTATAAAATGGGAAATAATTTTGTGAAATGGGTTCGTTTATCACCCAACCCAACTCAAACCAAACGTAACCTTAACTAACATCAAAACTACATGGCGGTCTATTGTTTACGTATACCAGTAATGTTGAAGGTAACATAGCCTGGTATATATTGTGACAAAAGGATATAACAACAAACCAAAGAGAAGAATCGGCACAATATAACTCAATGGATTATTTCAAGGCACCAGAAGTCATAAACCAGGAAGGAGAATGAGAGAACGAAAGGTTAATCAAATCGCCCATAGGATGCTAACTTGAATTCAGACAACGTGAAAATTTCTAGTTCGATAGTGTGTTTAGATTACTTCATTACCTGAATAATAAGTAAACTCTAGAATAATCAGCCTCTTAGCTACAATAGAAACACGGACGTTTCAAATCATAGCGAAGAAAAAGCAGATTCGCTCTTTCACAAAAGTTGGACGAAGTAGGCTAATATTACTCCGTTCGGAAGTCCTAGTAATGTAGACTAAATGCAAAGGGAACTGTGCAAACACCAATACTCAAAGAAACAAACTTTAACCACAAAGGCAAGAATTAAGCACGCAAAGTTATCCGGTTGATGTGCATTTGAGTACCAGTAAATGTCACTGATCCGGTCATGGTATTTCAGAGTGTGGTATTTAACAGTGATAATTACCACAGTGTGATCTTTGCAATTTTTACCTTAATATGAGCTTTCTCTTATGTTATCATTATTATTGTAACTTCTTTTTTTGTGATCTTCACCACTATGTGATCATTCTGTGAAACTTACGAATATCTGATCATCACCTGGGTATCCTTACAGGAGAGAAATGGCTCACGTCAGCTGGTGTTCCAGATTATCTCGATAACTCACTCACCCGGGGAACTGTATATGGAACGTTCTTCCAGACGACAGTCTGTGCAAAGGTTAGATATATATATATATATATATATATATATATATATATATATATATATATATATATGTGTGTTGTTTTATCCTTTTCATTACTGCACTTGTCAACTTAATAGCTGGATCAGACATCCAGTCAATTCTCTGATACTCATTGTTGACAAGTACTGGGTATGTACCGGCTCTTGAATATACTGTACTTGAACATAGCCCGCACATGATCCGTACTTGTTTAAGGTCGACGCTGAAAATGGGAGGAACATTGGATTTGGAAAATTCAAATTTCTCGGGGTACTTACAGGTATAGTGGGCAGAGTTCCTTTGAAATTGGTTAAAATATTTTATCTTCCATAAAAAATTAGGCTGAAAATTTTGAGGAATTGGAACCCCCTGGAACAGGTTCACTGTTACGGTTATTAAGAATTACAATGGTAAAAACGTTTCCCCAAATTAGAGGTCTTTTCACTGACTCATTTAAAGCCACTTTCACACTATGCTGTTCTTCGCCGCACCTAGATGCGGTTGCCGCACCGGAGAGACCACGGTTTTCTGCCGCACATTCGTCCGGCTGCCGTGTACAGCGACCCAACTTTGGACTCTTGTCTACAGTTTCAGCGTACGGGCACGGTATATCGGACAAGTCCAGTGGGAGGCCGCACATGCAATCCGGCGTCAGACCGGCGAATTCGCCGCAACCGTATAGTGTAAAGAGGTACATAAGAACTATCAGTCGACTGCTATATAACCGCACCGCATCTACCCTAAACCGCATTGTGTGAAAGGGGCCAAGCCAGAACACAAAGATTTCGGAAAAAAAATGGCGTAGAATGCGCTCTGAGACTACTGTATATGGTATTTAAGTGTGTACTCACTGCATTCGATTGTATGGACAATTCTCTTAAGAATGTCATAAATCTGAACCCATTTTATAAGTAATGTTAATGTACCCTAACTTAGAAAATGGTAGGGAATGTTTGGGATCAACTGAAGATTAAAAGCTTTAAAGTTTATCTAACCGAATACATATTAAATATGACATTGCCTAATCCCCCTTAGGTAGCAGTAGGGTTAGGGTGTTCAATCGTCAGGTAAAATAAGCTGGGGTATCTAAATTTCAGGTGATCCGATGTTTATTTGCACGGGTTGGCTATGAAATACTTGATTGGGAGTTACCTAAAAGTGTTTATATTTATTCTATCATGAAAACACAGGCCAGCGAGAAATAAGAATCAATATAGGGTAGAAGTGTTGGTACGCCAGCGCGGCGGGTTCACTTACCTCATGAGACCAAAGCTTCACCTCCAACATTAATACCCAATCATACGTTACGGTGTATCTGATGTCTCCCCCCTTAATGTGCATAACAGTAAACTCACTAAAATCTGTTTGTTATACGATTTGTTTTTAAATGTATGATAGACATGTGTAGTTAATAGGCTATCTACGGGAAGACTTTTAACAGTATCAAAGGTCTTCGTCATGTTATTGTTAATTTTCATTTAAAACTTTTTTGGGCTCGTCGCCGTGAACCTTTGTGGACACGTTACTCTGGTATGAAAGATGGCCTCAAGTTTATTTTTTCGTCGATTGATTGATTTTTTTGTGTTTCTCTTCCATATTATTCGTGTTCAGAACAAAAACACGCACCGGGTATGAATTTTGATCCAAAGTTTCCTCATATATTGACCGATTAAGATATCAATTGAACAAAAAGATTCCCCTCGGCAGTTCCTTACACTCAAAAAAGTTACTAGATATGATTCAGCATTTTGGTATTTCGTTAATGTGTTTGGATTAGAGTTCAAAGACTGTCGACTTCTTTTTCACATATATTCGTTTATGTAGACTGATCAATACAGACATGATTTAAAAGAATGATAAATATCTTGTTATAATTCCTACAAACAGGACGAGAAAGATTTGGAATTATGTATTCGATTTCACAAGGTCAGGTGTCACGAAAAGTTGTCACATCTCAATTTGCACAATGATACTATTTGAGCGTAAAATGATGTCGATGTATATAAAATGAAGTGGACGAGAAGGAAGAGACTTACAGCTCGTGAATGACGGCGACTCAAGAATATGTTTTTTCTCTTTTTATCTAGTCATCCCTAAACCTTAACTCGTTTTTTACTGTACATTTTTAAGGTGGCCTGAAGTAGAGTATTTTATACTGTTAAATTTATAAATGAAATAAACTTTATTTTGTATAAGATCTCTTGGTTATATAGTAGAGTCCTTTTCTAACCCTAGTTGGTGTAAAACATTTGGATACCCAAGCAAGGTTAGCAGTACTTACCGCCACGGCCCTGGGGGTTTTAGTCAAATCAGTGCTGAAAGGTCGTTTAATCGGATGAAATTAATCAAATCTTACCTCCGATCAACCATGTCAGAAGAACAGTACATTAAGGAAATACTGATACGGTGGGTGTTGCAATAGCATATGAAACTGTAATAAAATGTGTGTTAGAGAGGAATGTGTATCCCCGTGCTATGTATGGATAGAAGCAGGTGGAAAGCCCTCTTGACATTCCCCTCCTCCTACACTTTCTAGGCCCTAGGGTATAGTACAGTTGCGGAAATGTGTTCTTACACCCCCTGTGGTAACCCGTGCCCCCAAACGGTAGTAGGTAGCAGGCAGCTATCAAACAGGGAGGTACTACCGCCTGGGAAGATATTGGAAGCATAATGTATTGACTAATGGTAGACCCTGCTGCCATATGTGACCAAGTCCCAGGTTGCTGATCTGACTCTGCCTCATTTACACACAATTGCAGGGTCTCAATTGTTTCTCTTACTTTGACAACACAGCATACATATATCGTTTCTCACTATTAATCTTTTTATTATTATTATTATTACTTCGCCTCCAGGCCCTGATGTGGGTCATTGACATGTGCCCTGGTGGGCTAATCCAGTAAAAAAAAAAAAGGCCAACCTATATGACGATAACAAACCTATCCACCAATCACGTCCGTCGTTACAGAACAGTACCCATTCATTCATAAATAGTTTGGAGTCACGGGTTACCCCTGCAACTGTACCAGAATCGACTGTGAAAGTCCTTACACTGCCCGGTTTGTCCAGAGCAAATTGCCAGTGGCTGAAGCCAACTTGTTGAAAGTTCATGAACAAAGAAAGTGACCCGTTGCATCCAAGGAGCAGGTTGTGTCGGGTGACAAACCACCGAGATGTACTATAGTATATTGTAAGGACTTTTGATATCGGGAAGTGAGTGAATGTCTTGTGTCACGGGTACGGTGTGTGTGTGTGTGATGGCATTCTGCGGTGATGCTGTTTAGTCCCGTAATGCATTATAGCACCATAACAGTTTATATCCGTTGTAACGCCTGTGCAAAAATAATTATACGTTAAGTTAAAAATGCCATGTCAGTTATGTAGGAATATCACCATTCATTTATGTTATTGCAATAGGATCGCGAACTTCAAATTGAAATGGAAACAAGTTAACGATTTTTAGGAGACGTTAGTGGGAGCCATTACGCTAATTGCACTTTAAGGTAACAATGAAAATAAATTTATCTTGACGTTATTGTTCCGGGAGTCTAACACACAAAGGCTTTCAGCTGAACCTCACGGGCGCATGACGGACTTGCCTAGGTGTGACCCTTAAGACTGTATACATGTTTGCTTCATGTTCTGATTTATTAGTTTCACAGTGCTTAGGTTAAGCCAGAGCAACTATGACTAATACGCTCTTACCTTTATTTATACAGTTATTAATTTTTGTCGTAGACGAAGAGCTTGTCACTACAGGTATACTGTACTGTATATGTTGGGTGAAAAGGTTATATTTATATGGCTTAGGTAATGTATTTCATGCAGAGAAAGAATAATTAAGTTACTTAGGTAAAATTGAGAAAGCCTATGGTACTAATTTACTGAAGAGCCAGCGAGAAGAGAATGGTAACACTAAACATGATGGTACATTGGTAACCGAGCATTTCTGACATCTAGCTGTCAGGGTTCGAGTCCTGGTCCAAGAGATACATGAGAAGGATGTTCAGTGTGACCCTACCAAACATCACAGGATTTGTCATATATTAACACTGGACATTATAGCTCACAACAACGTAACAAAAAAACCCGACTAGCCGCCCGAACGGCGAGTAAGTTGATTAATGGTGAAATTATGAATAATTGAACGTCCGCCGCTAGTACAGGTGGATGGGAGGGAGGGAGATGTGGGGTACGTGATGTTTTGTTCACACTCAGGATGGGATGGAGAAAGGAAACTCACAATGTGCTCTCTGTATACATATTGTATTGGATGTACAATGCAGCTTGGTGCTGGGAAGGCAGCATGGTTACAAGCGTTGAGTAGAGAGAGCTGGTTGGTGAGGGTGCTCAGAGGACTAGCTTGTGGGTCGCCATGGGCGCTGGCGGGAGCCAGGGCCGCCAGGCAGGAGGAGGAGGAGATGTTGCTTGCTGGTTGGTGTAGGTCGAAAGAGGTAGGTCACCACGAGGTCAGGTCTTATATAGCGGAGGTAGGCGTGGCTTAATAGTTGACCTCAGTCATGTAAGGCGGCGCTGGTTGCTGACCTAGACCACGAGGCACACACTGAGGAATTCGCGGGGTCGGCTACTCAGCGACAAACAGCGTTTGTAGGGGAGGAATCCAATACTATGTCACAGGCTTTCCATTTTTATTCCAACTACCTTCTAGAAAGAGAAAAGAGACACGCAGTCCTCTCACACTCATTAAGTCAAGAGACAGGGATGCTGAGTAATGCGCTGTTACAGTTCCATTTTTTTTTTACAAAAAACAGGACTCATTTCTCGTCATCGCTGAGGGAATAGGTCAGGCAATCGGTCGGAGGCAAGGATAAGAGACTTGGTCGGATCAACGTATTGGTACTGTTGTCCTGCCTTGAAATTATGATGAAGTCTTTGGAGTACAGTAGTAGGTATTATGCCGGATTCTCATAATACTTTAGTTTATCCATGCACGCATGACTATTATTACCTCAAGGGTTTATCATCATAATCTGCCAGTTTATTCTTAGCTACCTGTGTTGTTCTATTCCACATGTAGACAGTTCCACGGTGATTGAGAAGTTACAGAATAATATTACTGCATTTTTTGTAAAAGTGTGTGTAGGTTTTGCATTTAAACTTACAAAAACCCAAGTAATATCATCTAGAGAACTAAAACATCGTACGTTTGGTAGCACAGGCCGCTGGGTCCGGAGGGTGCTTCTCCAACTCTTAAGTTCTCACCGTCAGTCAGCCTGTGTTACTAGTAGTGGAATGCGGTGGGCGTCAGAGGACTGAGGGAGTGAATCGGTGTAACAGTTTTTTTAAAGTTGAATTGTGAATTAATTAAGTGACGCTCACCCTTATAGTATGACTGTATTAATATGTAGTACAGAACAATATAATAAGTCACTGAAATTTGTTCAGACCTTGTATGGCTCGGGTATACGGCCTATGGTGGTATGGGCAACTCATGAAAATTACTCAACCTGGAAACGTTGTGTTTGGTGAGGTAGCAAGAGACTGGGTGCTTGTTGGGAGTAGCATTGGGTCTTTCCTCTGCTTCATACACCCTGCCAAGAGGGGTAAGTATGTTGCCTAATATTCTAAGATAAGCTTTAATAACTGCTGTTTAGTGAGATAAATAGCAAATGTGAAGCACACTTCTTCAGCGAGGGTGGTGGTAAATAATTACAGTACAGTGAGTCCACGCACTAAATAACAGTGTGTTTACATCGGGACATATGAAACATCTGCAAGGAAATTTGGGGGGGAATTTACTTACAGTACGACCAGTGAGCAGGGGATCCCCCGTCCACTTCACAACACCCATATCAGAATTAGGTAATTAAAGTCAACATGGTAATCCTGGAGGAGATGACAAACTACCCAGACCTCCCGCCATATTAAACAGAAAGTATTTCTTTTAATATCTGGTACCAATGAAAGCAACTTTGTTGAAGCGTAATGGTGTAATATTCCTTTTTTGTGGACGTAGAGACGCTCAGGCCAAGCAGGTAGATTGTAAACAAACGGAGCAGACAACACACGCCGACTCGCCTTTTTTCGGAGGAATATTTACGATAAATAATTAAATTCTTCATGTACAAAGCAAGTAAATACACCATTTAAGTGTCATATGGTCAGTTTTTCACCTTGTTTTACGAAATTACGGGGTTAAACGTAATTTCCCTCAACCTTCATGCTCTGCCCACTACAGGTGATTTATATTTTTACAGAAAACTAAAAAATAAAATTGAATTCCCATAATTAGAAACAATTGTCGCCTCTTTTAAAATACTTACTATAATAACAAGAACGTCTGTGTAAAAAAAACCCTAAGGAAATCGAACAACTCCTGGTGTTAGCCATCGGTGAACGAAAATGTCCACATGAAAAGTCACAATTGATTTAAATACCATTAACAATTAAATAAAATAGGTTAGGTTCTGTGACGTTTTTTCCGGGATTGTAGTATTAACGTCAAATTCTCAGCTTCCGCGCTGAATATCGTAATAGATTTTGTGCATTAAATAAGTTTGCTGAATGTGAAGAAAAGGAGGCCAACCATTACTAACTTGTATTTCGCCACGAACCTTTCTAGTATTGATGTTTTGGCGTGGGTTTTATATCTAGAAGTGTAAGTAATAAGAGTGCAGAGGTTTTATTGCAACTATATCTTGCGCAAGTCAGGCCGCACCTCGATTATGCGGTTCAGCAGTTCTGGTGCCCCTATTATAGAATGGATATAAATTCACTAGAGTCTGTGCAGCGAAGAATGACAAAAATGATTCCGGGGACTTGGAAACCTTCCATATCAGGATAGGTTAAAGAAACTTAACTTGCATTCCCTAGAAAGACGAAGAGTGCGGGGAGATATGATAGAAGTATTTAAGTGGGTGAAAGGAATCGATAAAGGGGATATAGATAAAGTTCTTATAATATCCGAGCAGGATAGGTCTCGGAGCAACGGATTCAAGTTGGATAAGTTTAGGTTTAGGAGGGAGATAGGAAGAAACTGGTTCACAAATAGGGTGGTGGACGAGTGGAACAAGCTTAGCAACTTTGTAGTAAGTGCGGGAACTCTGGAAAGTTTCAAAAGGAGGTTAGATAGATTCATGGATGATAGAGAGTGGTAGTAACTCTCGACAGGAGCTGCCATGCACAGGCCAACCGGCCTATTGCAGACTCCTTATTTTCTTATGTTCTTTTCTCATGAAGATTAGGCACCCCGAAATGTTCACCTGAAGATTAGGCACCCCAGCTTAAGTACTCCACGTTACCCGGGGTGCTTAATCTTCATGTGATATCCAAATAATTCACAATAAGGTTAATTAAAGAAGTATGGTGACAAAAATACAAACGAGTACACAGTAAGAATATTGAATATTAGTACATTGAATACTATAGAGTGATATGTACGATGAGTCTCAAAGTGGTATGGTTAAAAAGTACAAAATAATTCAGAGTAAGTTCATGAAACTTTATTGCATTACATATTGTAAAAGTGATGTGGTTACAACAATTTTAAAAGGCGTGATGAAAATAACGATCGAGGCACACACAGTCTTGTAAGTAAGGGCAGGGTCTATAAACCTTGGGTAAGGATGCAGTCCCGTTTACAACTGTGTATCGCCTTCATGTGACGGTGGATCTCGGTACGGTGCCTACCTGAAGATTCGGCACCTCGATTTAACCTACCTGAAATTTAAGCACCTTAGCGGTCCCCGGGGTGGCTAATCATCATGAGACCCGACTAAAAAAGATTTAGGAGTAATGATAAGTAGGGATCTTAAACCTAGTAAACAATGTGTATTTGCTCGAAACAAGGCTAACAACGTACTTGGGTTCATACAAAGGTGTGTAAGTTACAAGACTAGCGAGGTCATCCTAAAACTATATCTTGCGCTTGTGAGACCTCACTTGGATTACGCAGTTCAGTTCTGGACACTGTACTACATAATGGATGAAGAGTCTCTAGAAAGAATTCAGAGGAGAACGACAAGACTAATCCGGGGCATTAGGAACCTCGAGTACAGAGACAGGTTAAAGCATCTTAATTTGCACTCCCTCGAGAGACGTAGAGTGAGGGGCGATATGATTGAGGTGTATAAATGGAAGTCAGGGCTAAACAAAGATGATATAACAAAGGTACTCAAACTATCTAACCAGGAGCGAACTCGTAACAATGGTTGTAAGTTAGACAAATTTAGATATAGGCGCGAAATAGGTAAACATTGGTTTGGAAATAGAGTAGTGGATGAGTGGAACAAGTTACCAAACATCATCATTAACTCGAATACCCTGGGTAGCTTCAAATATAGGTTGGATGGATATATGACCGATAGGGGTTGGGTGTAAATGGGACTGCCCAGCAGTATGGGACTGCCCAGCAGTATGGGCCAATAGGCTCGCTGTAGTTTCCTTCATTCTTGTTCTTATGTTCTTAATATAATGATTACATAGAATCAGGCAAATTTGAAGTGTTACAGCTGATTGCTCTTTTATCAGTATCGTAATTGGTAATAATTTGATATTAGTTGGGAGCCAATCATAACGTCAAAAGGTGCTAATTTGTTAAGGATTGCAATTATTATATTAAGGTGTAGAAGTTTCTCGTTGTATTGTAGTTGAGCCAGGCCTAACATTAGAGTTGTGCATATAAAAATATTTCCATTGTTCTCACAGTGACCATGTTCAAATCAATGTTTCCACACGAGGTACGCCTAATCAATGAATTCCTTTGCGAAGTGAGTCGCAGGCCAGCGTGTTGACGCGCTGGAGCAACTGGGACTACTGTCCACTTGAACGATTACTTGGTGCTATTAGTTATCTTTGCATTGTATTCTCACATATTCACTTTTTTATTTTACAAATTATGCTGTTTATTGTCAAGAATGATTAGTAATGCAATGGTTAATCTATAAACATTATTTTTTATTACATGCGTGTACAGTATATCGATCAGCTGCGTAACCAAAGTTTTAGAACGAGGAGGCAATCGTGACCAGAGCCAGAATTTGGTAAGGTGTTCCTTCAGTGACGTAAACAGACTTTTAGACGAAGGAGAAGCAAATAGGATCAATTAATAGTACAGGACATAATTCGATGTTGTTTTTTGTTGCTAATAATAAGTTGAGACAAAACCAAAACGATTTTCATCTTTGACACGTTTTTACCCCCTCCTCCCGTTATTACCTCCCCCCTCTCGTTATTACCTCCCTCCTCCCGTTATTACCTCCCTCCTCCCCTTATTACCTCCCTCCTCCCGTTATTACCTCCCTCCTCCCGTTATTACCTCCCTCCTACCCGTATTATCTCCCTACCCTTTTTATCTCCATCCTACCCTTTTTCCCTACCCCTCCCACCCTTTTAATTCTCAATCTTTTAACTCCAATTCTGACTACTCCACCTTTTAATTCTCCACTTTACCCTTTTACCCCCTCCACCTTTTTACTTTACCTCCTACCCTCCTACCCATTTTTTTACCCCTCCCACCCTTTTACCCCCCCACCCTTTATTCTCCACCCTTTACCCCTTTTATTCCCTCCCACCCTTTTTAACCCTTTTACCCTCCCCCCTCCCACCCTTTTTACTCCTCCCACCTCTTTTTTAATTCTCCCACCCTTTTTACTCCCCCCTCCACCTCCTCTTTACTCCCACCCATTTTACCCTCCCACCCTTTTGTCTCCCACCCTTTTTTTCCCTCCCACCCTTTAATTCTCCCAATTTTTTAATTTACCCCACCCCCTCCCACCCTTTTACCCCCTCCCAATTCTTTTAATTCCCTCCCACCCTTTTTTACCCTCCTCCCTTTTTAATTTTCTACCCTTTTTACCCCCTCCCAATTTTTCTTTTTACCCCCTCCCACCCTTTTTAATTCCTCCTACCCTTTTTTATCCTCCTCCTACCCTCTTTTTATCTCTCTCTTTCTTTACCTCCTCTCCCACCTTTCTCCTCCCACCCTTTTTAATTCCCACCCTTTTTGCCTCCTCCTACCCCTTCTTTAATTCTCTCCAACTTCTTTTTACCCTCCCATTCTTTTTACCTCCCTACCCTTTTACCTCCTCCGATCCTTTTACTCCCTCCCACCCTTTTTACCCTCCCATCCTTTTACCCCTCCTGTCCTTTTTACCCCTCCCACCCCTTTTTTTTTACCTCCCCTCATCCTTTACCTCCCCTATCCTTTTTTACCCCCTCCTACCCTTATTCTCTCTATCTCCTACCCTCCATTACGACCCTTGTAGCCTTTTTTACCTCCCACCATTCTCTCACTCCACAGACCTGGCCGTGGACAAGCTCGGCATCAGTAGCGTAATAATAAATCACATTATTTATACGTTGCTGTTGTTTGATACCGTCGTCCACTCCGCGCCACGCGGTAAAGGGCTTACCAAAGTTAAAAATAACCCAAACAGACTTAACCAAGGCTTTACCCCAGAGCCATTATCACCTCATTGATGTTCTTTCCAGATTACAGAAGAATCCTCCTCGTCTTCCGACTGCATTTTTATTTTATCGTGTCAGGTACAAACTTGTGAGTGGGTGTGCAGTATTGGGAGACGAAATCCAGGTTGGTTTAATC